TATCTGCGCGACTGGGACGACTATTCTTGACCTTGCTCAATTCGTACTGTGATGTCTGGGTGTTCTTGTGACTGGAGTATTTGTTGCTCGTATACTCGCGGTGGGTACGGGAGATTAGAGCTGAAAGGGCGGGCAGGCAGGCACAAATGACCCCGATCGTTATCTCGGCATTTCTAACCACGAAAAAATCGTCAGCTAGGTGATACAATGATATCCAGTTTAGGGAATAGTCGTACCCGAACATGTTAATGCGCATGAAAGCCAGTGTTCCGTCTTGTGATTGCCCTGTCAAAATAATGAGAATCAGACGGACAATACTCGATGCACACGCTAGTCCTCCAGCTCCCAATACGACCATGACTCGCATTTTCTTCTTCAACGGCAATTGCAACCCCACCGTCAAAGGTAGGGGAAGAATTAGGATAGCCATATCGCTAACAACACTGACAACTGCATCGGCAAGAATGATTGATGTCTGGTCCAGGCATGACCCCGGTGTGTCAGGGGCCCAGAACTTCGCTATTGGGTCGCAGATTCGGATCTTGACAATGACCGCTGGAATATAGTAGGCGAGCATAATACCCAGGAAGACGTAGATAAATATAACGGTTTTTCGGTAAGGGCTGAAGACTCGTGCAATGATCCAAAGTAGGGACAACTTTGTTAAATATGCGGTCGGACCATACATGACCATTGTCACATACACCGTCTGAGCAAGTTAACACAGAAAATTGGAGATTGTAATAGACTCATTCAACTTACCTTCTCGAAGGGTATGCGATGGGATACAGGCACATCAGCGTAGTGCACCCCGCCCCCGAAATGGCCCACTGAACTAATACTCAGCAAACCTCCGAAAGGGGCTTTTTTTTTTATACTTACTGATCAAAGCAATAATTGAATAACACACACCAAGAAACTGTCAGTCAAGATAGTTGAGCATCTCATTCAGTAGGTTGGCATCAATGTCCTTACCCAAGCACCTAGACAGGTCCCTGTGTGTTCGTTAGCACTGGCCATCTGCAGCTGCTCATTAGGCCCTTACAATCCTCTCTTCGAAAGCCGTCCATGATGACAAGGCGGGTAAAACATCGCAGAGCAAAGAAAATCGTCATCGTAGTGATGCATAGTATCTGTGTCGCCAGATTCCATTTCTGGACCGACCTGTCCACATGTTTATCTGTCATGCTGGTGTCATCACGTCCAAGCAGCTCCGCGAGCATCGTGACGAACGGGTAGGCTTCACAGAAGCGCTTCCAAAGTGCTGGAAATAAATGAATGACCCAGCAGTCTGGGTTTAAGTCCCATTTAAGACTATATCACAACCAAATTTGGGAACTCGGGGTCATGACACATCAATCAAGGTCGATACATCGCGAGCAATAAAGCTCTCCGATTCGTCCTTTGCCACAAGCACCAAGCCTTCTTTTTTTTTATTTAGACGGAGGCCGTCACCCCTGAAGGCGATAGCGCAGGCCCTAAGGATTTTTACTCCTTTGCAGAGCATCCTGCGACAGGGTTCCGGGCTAGCCAAAGACAGGGGTGCAATGAAGGAAGTACGACTAGTCCTTGGGCTTTACTTTTTCCGAATCAAGAGCCCAGTTGTGGGCTGGTAGTGGCTCGGTAAGTGGGCGATCTCGCCAAGTGCTCGAGAATATTGCCTGATTGCTAACTAGCATTGGGAAGAGTCTTTTTCGACTCCGTAATCCGTCGCTGTTCGGCGCAGGAGATTGATTGCTCGAAATTTTCAGTGCTTCGGACCCATTCCCTTTTAGACTGGCGATGACTAAATGAAATGCCACTCCGGAACAGGAGTGTGTATACTCTGTACTGCGTGTAACCATGCACGAATCTGCATGGTCAGTGTCAAAGCTCAGAGTCCCCTCCCCGTCTCACATGTTGCACATGCGTTGCGATGAAGCGGGAACCCATGCGTGCATTCGGCTAAACACTTTGGGGGATTAAATTTTGATCAACAGATGATCAGGCTTCGCCTTTTCCAATGGCTTGTTCTAGTGTTGGAATGTAATGAAGCCAACACAATTATTGAAGCAAATGGGTAAGGGCGACTGGGGGAGGGGGTGGGATGCAAGAGAGATGTCGATCGAAAGCCACGCCAGATTCTGATCCATCCCCTTCGCGGGTCAGAGATGCGCATCTGCTGTCGCTTACGGTCTCATACCGTATGGGTACTCCGTAAGGAAGTCAAGGCTGGAATGACTGGGGCGGGCGCGCGCCGGGCGGCAAGTGGGGCCCGCCAGCCGTCTAAGAGAACTTAATGCCCGTGCGGATGCAACGCTGTTACCAATGGTGGGCCTCGCGGACGTCAATCTTGCCTTACCCGGCATAGCTGGGGTCTCGTCTTAGATTATTGTGAAACTAAAACAACTGGTCGCCTCGATGGCTCGACGAAAAGAAAAAGAAAAAAAACAAAGCGAGACCAGAAGTACGATGCAGGAGCTGGCAAGAGCTGAGGGGTCCTGAGCAAATTTTTCGGACGAACCCACCACGCCGTCAAGCAATGCGTTTGTCTGGCTAGTTACAGTTAACACATTTGCTCCCCGGTTAGCAAACGTTTCTCCGAGATGTGAGAGGCAAACGCACTATAGACTCGAAGTGGAGTCATGCGTTTCTTTGTGTTCCCTTCCACGCGTGGCAGAATGTCCCGGACTTTCTGTTTACCATGTGACCCTGGGGATGACCACAGATTATCCCCCGTCTTAGCCAGCCTTATCAGAATATGCTAATTTGCCATAGAGTTTGCGCGGTAAAGTACTCCATGATCTGACTTTCTTTAATTCGAATATCTTAATCAACTGCTTTGCAATCGGTATTTCCAGGAGTGGGCAGGTACCTACCTCTGTATGTCGTGGTTCTTTATCCTCTGAAATCCGCCTGGTTGCAGATTAGGTCTAGTTCCCACGCCATGTCCTAGTGACCATCGCTGATCCCAATGACGCCTGGAAAAGTGGACGGATTCATACTATAGCTCTACTATTTAAACCCGATGTCCGAATAAGTATGTATGTGCTTTCTCATTCATTCTCGTCGCTTAATTCTAAGCGCACTTACTACACTTCATCTCCACTTCCATTTGTCCCTCCTTATTTCCATTTCGGCTATGTGTAGCCTTTGAAGGTCTCCACCTCCAGAATTTCGTCACGAATATGGGAGAAGGAAATTCGGAAAATATGATCCGCTTTTAGCGTCCATGGCTGTCGTGTACAAGCGGTTTGGCCCCCAAGTTAAAGCGCTGTCGGTAGATCCGGCTTAGAATATAGCCATGATGTTGGGGGGTGAAGATACCCCTCCGGGCATGTTCAGGGGAATAGATGCCACAAAGAAAGACCAGCGCTGGAGATCTTGGCAAACTTGATACAGTGCTTCTAGATCAAACAGCTCTCCTGTCAAAGGGACATCCGATCAGTATATTATTGGAGATCGCTTCATATTGCATGCAATTGATTTCAACGTACCGATTGGCATGCCCCAGCCCGCAAGTACATACTCATGCAGGAACAAATCAGGCGACTGGGGTGGGTAAACCTGTTACATGTCAGTCAAAATGTACTTGAGTAGTGATGCATGCATAAGATTGCAGTGGATAATATACCTCCCAACTAATTGCATCGCTGGCAATCGCGGCGAACCCGGTATCCCAAAGCCATCGCACCACATCTGTAGTTGCCTCGACACCTGCATGCTCCGGGCTCGGATTGTCCGAGTATTGCCGCTTCTGGTCATCTGTCATGGCAGTATCCCATTCCTTCGTCACTCCAATGCGAACAAAAAGTATGTCGCCCTTTTGAAAAGTAATGCCACATTCCTTGGCAATTTCCTTGATATCTGAAAGCCGGATTTGATGTGTCGAAAAAGTGCTGTATCTGATTCCCCTCTTTTCTGCCCATGTGGCATAATCGATCAATACCCCGCGACCTGTCGAACAGCATGCGACACCGCAATTAGTCGCTTACTCCGAAAGGACAATCAATAAATAGGTCAAGTTCCTACCAGCAATCCCTTCTTTGGCCCAATGCTGCAAGCCGATCCGATTGTTCGTTCGATCATTGATTTCCTCGACGGTTGCGCCACCATAGAACACACGCTCGGTTTGGCCCTCAACCGTCTGCGAAAAATGCCGCAGACCATCCCACTGGCTACTTTGTTCTATTCTGGAGTTAGCCCAGGGGGGTGGTACCGCGGGCGAAAGGAAGAATAGTGCATGTGCATGACCTACGAGGATTCATGGTATAGACATCGTCGAAAGCCACACCGCCCAAAAGCGGAATGATCTGATGGTGGCATGGTTGACGGTTCAGATTAGGATAATCCAACTTGGTCAGTTCCCAGCCCATCGTCACCCGTCGCCCGGTCTTGATTTCAGTGGCAGCAGCATTGGCCACCACCTCGGGGGTCAAGATCGCAAGCTTCCCTAATCCTTCTTCGCGGCTTCCTGGCTTGCCAACCCATACTTGCTTGGGGTTCGGCAGCTCATCAAATGGTACATCGAAAGGCGACTGACTAGAATTACCCGACGACATATTTCTGAGAAAGATAGCTAGGCCGATCGAAGGAAGAAGCAAACACCACAGCACGTTGGGAGACGGAAGCCAGGGATTTTTGGACAGCCAGCTGAAACCCGTGTACGCATAGGTTTTAATATCTCCCTGCACGATGGTTCAACTACCAGTTGTAGCCTTTGGAGAATGGTTCTATCGCTTCCAATAGTTACTAATCCAAATGAAAAGGGTGGGGATGAAAGACAGACCGGTTCGGCGCCGTTGTCATAGCGGATGCACTAGATCCAGAAAATCAATAGACGGATCGCAGCGACGGGCTACCAGGCCCGCATCTGTTATAGTACTTGCTCCGCACCCAACTTTGAACCCCCTGTTCGGATTTACACGCTACACATAAAACGTAATACTGAGGATTGCACCAGTTTAACACAGTCCCGCCGAGTCCACAAAAAGCGAGGCCACAGAAGAGGGCTCGGGGTTACTGAATCGGCCAAACCGTCTGTCTATTATGCCTGAGCGTGCATACGCACCTGGTTACAAAGCAAACGTGACCTGAACCATGCTCACTCCAGGTGGATCTTAACTGACATCTTATGGGTCGTCTTATCGGTTGAGAGCCATGAACCACCGAGCGAGTCAGGACTGACAAGTGACAACTGATCAGGATGCTGATGGCAGCCACAATAAACCCAAACGGAAAACCAGGCTGTCAAGGTGGAGATGGAGAGAACCTTAAGTCCTTTCAGTTGCCTATTTGGAAGTAGTGAGTAATCCAGAGGGAAGCGGCAGACCGCAGAACATACATACTTACAGGCATAACGGTAACGTACGTACATGCAGTAACAGCACGGGACTCCCCAAAGGAGCTTAGTGTCGATTCCCTTCCTGGCAGAGACCGTTTATTGTCAGGCTAGCGAGGCAACGACAACTAATGCATCCTCTTTCTTCCCTCCCCTGGTCTAGAGCAAATCAATTGTCGAATGGCGACCATCGGCCATGTTTCTTCAACCAGGTGATTGAGGAGCCGTTATGTCGCTGGTCGTGGTTGGTGGATCCACTCCTTCATCGTCAACTCCACCCGGCCGGTGCTCTACGCAAAAGGGAAGTATACTCAAAGGCAAAGCTAGAAAGCTCCCACGAGCTAAGCAACTTAGTGCAGGATGTGTGGGAGTGTCTGTGGTGCCGTTTTCTCTGCCCGCTTACCCTGCGCCGAGAGATATATCCCAGGCTGATGTGCCGGCACCTTGACTGTCTGTCTGTCATACACGGTTGTTGTTTACATTTTCATTTCTGCCCGGCATTCCTTCCGCCTCTTTTCCCTCACCCCCCGGTCCCAGACCTGTTCCTTTCGGGTAGTACATGATCAAAAATTGAGCCGCGTGGCTTGCTCAATATTGTTTCATCTGATGCAACGTGCGACTTGACCTGTTTGCTCTTCTTTCTGGTTATATTGCTTTTTCTCTTCCCACTGTGGCTCCGATCTACATCCATTGCTTCCATCTAGCTCGCCATGGGGACGTTCGGGTCTCAGACCAGTACCTATAATAGGCTGGTCACTATATTTGTTGCCGTTGGTTCCATGGTGAGTATTCGGAAATCTCTCTTCTGCAATCGCTCCTAATTTTCCTTTTCTCCAATTACTAGACATACGGTTACTGCTCTTCAATTATCTCAAGCACGATCGGTCAGCCAGGATGGTTTACATACTTCAATCTTCCTCAGGAGGGCGAGCCGGGATATGCCTCAATAACGACCCCTGCTATATCTACAGCGAATGGCGTCTTCAGTGCTGGAGGTGCGGTTGGGACGCTCTTCATAATGTGGTCGTGTGATTATTTTGGTCGGAAACTTAATATCCAGTTGGGGGCTTTCTTCTCGATGTTCGGAGGAGCACTTCAAGGAGGTTCTAATTCACTCAAGTACGCCTTGATTTACCCCCCACCACTCTACTGCACATGCCCTTGGCTAACTCTACCTAGAATGTTTCAAGCTGGGCGATTTGTCTGCGGCCTCGGAATTGGTATCCTTGTGACTGTGTGTCCAATGTACCTTTCCGAGATGTCTAGTGCCTTCCGTCGTGGTTGGCTTGTTGGCCATCATGCCATCTTTCTCGTTTTCGGTTACATGCTTGCCGGCTGGGTAGGCTATGCCTGCTACTTTGCTGAAAATAAGATCGGTACATTTGGCTGGCGGTTCCCACTTTGTCTACAGTGCTTGCCACCTCTCGTCCTGCTGCTAGGATCGCCTTGGCTCCCTCGCTCTCCACGTTGGCTGATCAGTAAGGGAAAGCATGAGGAAGCTAAATTGGTCCTTGAGCGACTTCGCAGATCCCCAGACGATCCTAACAACCTGGTTGCTAAGGAAGAATACTTCCAAACTGCCGAGCAGATCCGTCTTGAAGGGGAGCGACTGTCTGCCTATGGAAATGTGTGGAACGCAGTTTTGAAGAAGAAGTCGTACAGGAAGCGTATGGCTATCGGCTTTCTGACCCAATGGGGAGCTGAATTCGGCGGGCCTCTGATCATCGTAAGTGCTTCTCTACTGCGATCAAGCTGAAATCCGATAGCTTACATCGCGCAGAACAACTATGCCGTTCTTCTATACACCAACCTTGGAGAAACCGGCGGAATGCCACTGCTCCTAAGTGCGGTCTGGCTGACAACTGCTGGTAAGATGGAAACTGGTCGGACTATGAGGGTAAAGACTAATCGGCGTATTTTTAGGTGTCATTTACAACCCTCTTGGTGCCTGGCTTCACGACAAGGTCAATTCTCGTCGAAAAATGTACATTACAGGTTTTGTCGGGATTATTGTTACCACATCTTGCTTGGCTGCCATGACCGCACAATACGCGGGCACCACGAACCGGGTTGGTAACGGGTTTGGCATTCTGTTTATGTACCTTTACCTTGCATTCCAAGGGTAAGCATATCTCCACAGATTATGATTACAGACTACTCATCTCTCAACAGAACTTTCTGTGATACAACGATGTATCTCTATGTGTCTGAGATTTTCCCTACTGAGATTCGCCCGATTGGCATGGGATTCTCCCTATTTGGACAGTTCGCCGGTAAGAAACTGTTCTGATGCAAAGCCGTCCTAGCTACTAACGCATGACAGCGACTCTCATCCTGCTTCAGACTGCGCCGATGGGTTTCGACAACGTTGGCTGGAAGTATTATCTGGTTATCATCTGCTGGTCCGCATTTTTCATTCCAGGTGAGCTAGCTACGTCTTTGCAATCTTGGTATTCGTATTAATAGGTGGCCTCTAGTGATCTACTTTTTCTTCCCGGAGACTGCTCGGTTGACATTGGAGGAAATTGCACAGAACTTTGGCGAGGAAGTTGCGGTCCATCTAACTGACGCGACGGACGAGGAGAAAGCCCGCCTCGAACGTGACCTTGAGAAACGGCCTGATAGTGTGCCGCAATCCAACTCAAGCAAGGACAACGAGACTGAGGCTGTTTAGCCTACTTCGCATCCGACGGGGGAGTGGCTCTGTGCAAGAGACTGCCAAGGGCCTTTCTAAGAAGGTACGCCAGCTGCCATCTCATACCGGACAATGGCTTACAGTGTATACAGCAATAATAGTATGTGACAACCACATACAAGGCCCAAGGGCTGCTTAGCGTTTCGAGATGCAAAGTCTGACCACGCTAGTAAGCTTGATGATACCCTGGTTATCGAAGAAATGATATAGGTGGCAGGCAGGAGCATATATACTAAGTATAACTCTTTGACATATGAAGTCCTGATCTTGTTTGGAAAGTGCAGACATTATGGCGATGATCAGTGGAACGAAATTACTATCTTATGTTATACTCTAATTATAGTGACTGACAATCAATGTGTGTTCAGTGGATATTTTCTTTGGTGTCATTTCAGAGAGAAGCCGCTACATGAAATATATATGGGAGCCTGGATGTTGCCAACACCTCCGGGATAATACGTGTCCGTGCCAGGCAGTTGGGAAGGCAACACTGGGATGGGGCGTTTCAGCCTGGCGGAGGCCAGATGGCATTACGTGAGCCTCGATGAGAGGCCCCGGCGAACGAGCTGGGGCCCAGGCGGTATAGGGGCACCATTAGCAGCAATAGCAGGCTACAGAGAGCCAGATAGATAAGAGGTGGAAACGGACTGTGGTATATTGGTTTTACACAAGCCTGTCCTGAGCACACGACCTGGGTATCTGCAGTGATTTGGGTAAGGGAAGCTCTGTGTAAGTGGTTACCACGTTCCGGTGCACTCCGTAGAGGGACCCTGGGAGGGGCTTGGTGGGAGATAAAGATGGGCTTTGGAGCCAGGCAAATTGAGAGGACCGGGATGGCCTTGGGGTGAATCAGATAAGGATGGTCAGATGACCATTCAACCTCGGAATAGTGATTGATATTGATTACTTCAGTGCTGTGCGACTGATGAAAAGAGGGTCGGCTCATTTCCTGAAGATCCTCGTCTCGCACGATAAGTTGGGGGGAACTGGAAGTTGGAGGCAGTGTGGCCGTGGCACCTCAGGCACCCACGGGGGATTTGGGTGCTGGCACCAATCAGGAGGCCTCGTTGGACAATTGGGCCAGTCGCCCCCTCCTTCCGCTAGTCCTCTTCGGTCTAGGGGAGCTGAAGCGAGCCAATCAGGAAGCACAACAGCGCCTGAGCGACGGGCGAGCGTCTCAGGCAGACTTCCCAGGCCATCCAGGAGAGTCTCGTCACTGCCAGTAACTGCTTGTAGTAAGTAGCAAGTACTACTCTTAGTAGTAGTAAGAAGAGTGATTCGCATGATCGATCCCAATCAATAGTTCCAGTTCCCTTCTTCTCCGGGTCTGCTTGCTGTCCCTTTCTCTCCTGCTGCTGCTGCTGCTTCTCTTTCTTCTTCGTCTCCTTTCATTCCCTGGTCGTCCCTATTGCTATTCCTATTCACCACCAACTCCTCTTTTCTCCCTTCCCCGCTGGTTCCTCTCTTTCCCTTCCCTCCTCTCTCCGTCTTTCTCTCTTCTCTCCTCTCGGTCGCCCTCTTTCTCTGCTTCCCCCCTCAGCCTCTCCTCACTTACCAACCCTTCCCCTACCCACCCCGACTTCAGTTCTTCATCATTCCCCCCTTTTCCCTTCATTCCTTCTCCATCAGTGTCTATTCATCTCGCTACTTCTACTTTTTACCTTCCTTTCCTAATCCTTTACTCTCCGTCTTTCCCACGAACCGTTGCTGTTGTTGGCTTAACATTCTAAAAGAACTTGAAGTTCCTTGGGTGGTCTGCCTGGGGCTCCCGGTTAACTGGACGGTCCTCTGTTAAGCGCGGAACTCGAACTGGGAAAAGGAAAAAAGGCACGGAAAAAAAGAAAAAAAGAAAAATAGCGGCCAAACACGCGCCGAACTCCCGAAACGAAGCAACCCGGCGTCGCCTCTCGTTTCTTTCCTCCACTTCTTTCTTTTCGTCAGGTTCGACGTGCGGAAAATAGCAGTCACAAATCGGAGAGGCACAAAAGGAGGATTAGTTTAAACAGAGAAGAAAAGTGGATAAAAAAAAGTATCAAGGAACACTCCGCCAGAAAAGCGAAAAAGTTTTGAATTTACCCTTCCTACCGCGACCGCGTGCTCCTCCCATCTCGACGGTCTGAACGGTAGACCAACCCTTCTCGTCGACTGCATCTTGTGTCTCAAGCATCATTTTCTACAGTTACAACGGAGTTGCAGAGCATCTCCGGTCCGTTTCTTATCTTCTGTCTTTTAATACAGAGAACCTCCGTCCTCTCGTCATCCGAGACTCGCTCAGGTCTTCCTTTCTCACCGGTCGCATCCCAATCTTCTGTCTCGTGAGCCAGCTGAATCTTTTCATCGGCTTCTGACGACGCCTGGCCTTATAATCGCTTGTACACCTGGTTATTAATCACTCATTGGCCTTTTTCGCCTATTCTACCAAGGCACATCTCTGTGTGTGCCTTCTTGTATTCTGCAGGTACGCTGAATTTCTCCGTGGACACTGCCCCCAAAAGCCAGGCTAACACCGCTTTCCACAGGGAGTCCGGACTTTCGCCCCGTTCGTTGCCTACCTATTAACCCATCCGTTTCCCGGTGTCGGTTATTTCTTCGGTGCTCCATCCTATCCTCGACCTTGTAATATTTTAATACGCCGAAAGATCCCTTGTGGTTGACCTCATCGCGTCTCCGATCGCTAAATCGTTAGCACCATTTCGTTTCGTCAATTGCACATACTGTTTTATACTCCTTTACAGTTACGAGTATGGACGCTGGCGGTCTTGCTCAAATGACCTACAACTCCTCTTTCAACAATGGCAGTGCCCTCGGGGTGCCTGGAGCCAGCTTTGGGTCACGCAGGAAAGGTTCCCATATCAAGCGTCTGAGCGTGCCTCCACCGCACATCTCGACTATCGATGAGTCTCAGCCATCTGCACCAATTCCGACTCCGCGCACCAGCCGTTCGCACCTTCTCGCTGGCTTAAGGACGGCTCCCAAGTCAGCCACGATGCCCTCGGCCTCCCAACGCCAGCAGCACCTTGGCTTCGAAGGTGATAGATATGGCAATCATTCGAACCGAGCTGCAGATCGCGTTCCTCAAACCGCCATGGGAACCGGATTCCCTCGTCATTCGTTAGCCGTCAACCAGAATCTGGACATGAACACGGGCCGCCCCATGTACACTCTGCCGGAGCAGGTGCTCGCACCTCCGGCTCTTGACATCGCTGGCGATACGCAGATCGACGAAAGCCTGTACGCGGAGTTGATGTCAACCAACCTCTTCTTGGCTGCCCAGCAGCAGCGCTTGCAGCAGCAGCTGATCAGCGTCACCGCGGCCGCTCAGCAGTTTCAGGGTCTTAATCTCGGAACACCTGTGATCCAGCAACAGCAGCAGCAGGATTATTCTCCTTTGTCCCTCCCTGGTATGGGTTTCTATCAGCAACAGCTTCAGCAGGGCGTGCAGCCTGTGGTGCAGCCTGTTCCTGGACAGCCGGGGCTCTACTCGGTTTACAACCCCTTGACTGGGCAGCAAAACTATATCTATGACAATACCTTCCAGCAGGACAGCTCGCCACAGTACCAGGAAGAGGAGACCCAGTCTCCCTCTGTTCAGGTGCCGACCTTCAGAGCTGAGGTGTCACCGCCGCCTGAAAACCGCCAGTCTCCTGTGAATGTTTCTCAGCCTGTGTCTCCTCCCAGCGGCCGTTCATCCCCGCAAGAAACTGCCCCTCTGCCTCCTCCCTCGGCCAATGCCTTCCGCAGGGGTCACAAGAAGAGCTCATCCTTTAACCCCGCGCTCAAGATGCCGCTTGACACGGCCAAGGCTAACGCTGCCATCACACCCGCGGCTCCCAAGACTGCGGCGTTGCCTCAGACCCCAGCTACTGGAACTTTTGGGCCCGGACAGGCTCGTGCGGGCGAGCACCCGATCCGCCAACCCCGTGGACCACCCTCTCTGGAGGAGCTTACAGCCAAGCCAACATCGAAGCACGAGGGAAGTAAGAACTTCGCCACTCGTCAACGTCGACGTGCGGTGCACAACTTGGTTCGTGCGGGCATTGAACGTCGTGGCGAAACTCGGAGCTTTGGCTGCCATAGCAGTGGTGGTACCAATACTCCTGCGAGCGAGAAGGAATTCACGTTCTCCGATGGGGATGATGCCACAGTTCGCAGTGGTAGCCTGTCCAGCAAACCCAGCCTGGGTAGTCTTCGCGCCGCTGCGAACGGAGCCATTGGTTCTGAGAGGAAGGAGAGGTCTTCCCGAGAACGCCGATCCCAGGATAGCCCGTACAACACCACCCCCATCAGCGAAGATGGCGGTTTCTTTGGCGGGAAGTTTACCGAGGTTCGGGCGGATCAGGCCTCTCCACGAACCGGATCACCCTCAGTGGCTGCTGTCGTCGCTGGCCAGAAGACGGTAGCTCAAGGTCAGGAAAGACGCAAGACTCCGATGCTTGTGCTCTCCAGCGCTGAAAAGCGTAAGACCCCGATCATGTAATGCCAACGTCGTACATAATATGACTTGAGACGTAACGGATGCGCAAAGCTTGGATGAATTGTTTTTTTCTGTTTGTACTTTTTTCTTGTTGTTGGATTTGAGCTCCTGCAGGCACCGCAGTTCTATTTCTACCCGGAATAAACTAGACGGTTAATCTTGATGTCATGGCAGGATTTTGGAGAGAGATCCTCAGCCCCAGCCTAAGCTGTTCTCTCTCCTTTCTGACACTGTGCATGGACACATGGCCAGGACTCTGCCCCGTCGATGACCCCATCTTTGTGTCTGACGAAGCAAGCCTCGGATGCAATGTGAATTCTTTTCTAACTGTTATTATTCGCACCCTCTTTTTCTCTCTCTTCCCCTTCTTATTCTTTCCTTCGACCTGAACAGATTGATGAACCACGAGACCAGAATCATTAAATCAAGATTTTCCTTATCTGTTTGTTATTCTCTCTGCCCACTTGAACTGGTGTCTTTTCGATTCTTCCATTCGCAAGAATCTGCTGGAATTGGTAATGGACCGTGCTTGACTCGCCCCATTACTACTTCCTTTCTTACTTTCCTTTCTTAGCACTGGTCCATCTGGGGATGGGGATACTCTTGTACGTACATACATCTGGCTATGTATGCTCTTTCGTTTTTGCTGTTTTTTGACCAGAGTTTGGACACTACTGGATACTGAATGCTGGAGGGCTACTGCTACCTATATGCTTAAGTGGACCTTGGCTTTTACTACTCTGCTCTTAATGCAAATCTATACATACTGAGAGAATTTGTAATCTTTCATCCATTCATTAATGTATCGATTTATTGACTTGCATAGCTGCACTGCACTGCACTGATCAATATTGCATAAGACCGGAATAGTAAATTACCTGTTGAACACACCACCTTGAATCATCTGAAAAAGAAAATAAATAAATAAAATCTCAAATAGTGATATTTGAATAAAAAAAGGAAGTATTACATACCTCTGTACTAGCAGTAACTCAGAGAACCGACTCAACTACGACCGGACCGAGGACCCGAAAATTCCAAGCCGACAACCAAACTCCCTCTATCTCACTCATCTTCAATCTTCAGCTATCCGGTAATTGATTGGATTTTTGCCGAGTTTGCTTCTTTGATAAGATTGTGGTGATGATTAGGAGGAAGGAAGGTTGCTGGGGAGGAAGAGGAAGAGGATGGTGATGATGATGATAACACCATGGGAGATGGATGTATTTCGAGAACTTTTATAGATTATTCAACTTAGTTGGTCTGGGGTACGGAGGGAGGTTTCAGAACTGTTTTCAAAGTTGAAGTATATATATATATCATCGTCTCCTGTGATGATGTTCTTGGTTGGGTTCGAGTAAAAAGAATTGGGAAAGTTACGTAAAGTTCTTATGTGGTAGGCAGGCGCTCTTCTTCTTTGAGGGGATATAATAGTTGTATCTACCCCAGTTTTACGGTGGCATATTGTACTGGAGATGA